GGGCCAGGTGTTCAAATATCAATTGGTAAGACTTGTCAGCTATGGATAGAATATATAAAATGATAAATAACTATATTTACAGCTCATTTTATACCACAAATGATTGAACGTTTAAATCGACCGGATATAAAACAACTTCATTTATTACATCGACTTGATAAACAATCAACTGGACTTTTACTTATGGCTTAGTAAGAAAAATCATAATTTATCAAAATTCTTTTCATTTTTATTCTATTTTAGTACACCAGAAGCTGAAAAACGATTACGTGACCTTATGCAAGAACATAAAATTACTAAACAATATCTAACTATTGTTCGTGGAATACCTCAACCATCTGAGGGTAACAAAAATTGAAATTAATCATGTAGAATAATTTCAATTTTATATCAATAGGTGAAATAAATATACCTATTATTGAAAGAAATGTTTGTGGTACATATAAAATGATGCTTTCACCTGCATATACTGACTTAACAAAATTAGTGATGCCGAAATCTAAACGAGATCATATTGATAGTTCAAAAGCAATAACAAAATATCGTGTCATTGATTCGAATTATGGAGTATCATTAGTAGAATGTCAACCAATAACAGGTAAATTTCTATTTGAAATATTTTAATCATCGAACTTTATTTCAGGTGTTAAACATCAAATACGTACTCATTTAGCGCATGCACTTGGCACACCTATATTAGGTGATCATAAATATTCTCATTATGCTAAATTAGCACCTCAAGTAAGATTTAATCTTTTTTTTCTCCAACTAAATTCATTTTCATTATTTAGAAATTACAATTTGCAACATTAAAAAAATTAGGTGTACGTCAAGCAAAAGTTCGTACAGTTCCACTATGTTTACATTCATATTCAGTTGCAATACCAAATTTTCTTCATCATCAACAGAATATTTTCATTCGAGCTCGTTTATCACATCATTTACGTTATTTCATTCAAGCTCTACGATTACGAATGATTAAATAAATATATATTCTCTTTTTTCTTCTTTTCTTTATTTTAATAAAAGAGAAAAAAATATAGAACTCATGAGCACATTTAGACAATATTCATCACTGGTGCAACATCTAGAAGAAAAAAAATAAATTTTGTTTTTCTTTTACGAAAAAAAGAAAACTTACGTTCAAATTTAATCTTTTCAACGATATTTCGGGATTTAATATTTTCTTCATGATTAACAATCCAGATATAGGTAGCATCATCAGGAAGTATTTTCCAACCACGAGTTTTAATTAATCCTTCAAATTCATGTGCTTAAGAAAGAGAAAAAAACCGAAATATTAAAAAATTATTTTATTTCAATAATTACTTGTAAGACGACCTAATGCCAATTGTAATTCTTGACGACTTATTGTTTGATATGTTCGATTTATTGTTTGACAGATGACTAAAAGTTTTTTTAAAACAGGAAATGAGTTAAACAAAGAATAAATTATACAAACATTCTCGAATACGATCTTCAAAACCTGGAATTTTTACTGAAGCACGTTCCAATTGTTCCTACACAAAATTAGTGTTTCCTATATCGGTTGTTTATTTATCAAATACAACTTACCCAAAATTCTTGAAATCGACATGATTCAAGTAATTCCGAGAAATGTAAAGCTTCTACAACACGTGAATTTTCTTGACACTATTCAAAAAAAAAATAAATCAATAAAAATGTTTTGTTTTTTTGGTCTAAATACTTTTTGTGCATCAAGTAAATATTTGCAGAGTAAAAAATCCGGTTTTGGTAAATTAGTTAATGCCAAAAGAAGAATATCTGCAACCTTATCACCTTGAAAATTACTTGGATCAAATTGATACATTTTTAATAAAGCCATATTAGCATCAAAATCATAAAAATGATTATCAATTTGATATTGAACATATTCTTCAAGCATTGGACGACAATTTGGATTGTATCTAAATATATTTATTATAAAATTTTAAAAACTCGAAAAAAACCTACCGTTCAATTCCTTTAAGTTTTTTTGCTACTTCTTCCGCACGTGTATTCGTACGAGATTGACTAACTGATGGCATTTTTTATGCTTAAGATAAAAATCTGAAATTTAAGAAAACAAAAAATATAGTATATACATATACACAAAAAATTATTTATTTTAAAAAAGATCTAATTTTTTTGTTCGAATTTGTTCACGTTTAGATTGAAGATCATTTTCAATATGTTTTAATTTATTATATTGAATTTTTTTCGTTGATAAACGTTGTTTAATATTTAATGTGATCGGAGACGCACCACTAAGAAAATAAATCGAAATTTTTTGAATTAAAAATTAAACAAATTAATTTACCGGAGTTCATGATATTTTAATCGTTCTTCTAATTGATGGATTTCACGTTCTAGTACTCGAATTTCATCATTACGTCGACCAATCTAAAACGAAACGAAATTATTGAATAATATTTTAACGAAAGAAAGAAAATTATACTTGTGTATGTAAAAGCAAAGATGTTTCATTTACAGTTGTTTTATTATCTTTAAATCGATCTAGCGGTGATGGTGTTGAGTCTTGATTAGCTAAAAAAATAAATCATTTTAAAATAAATCGAACTGAAAATAACAAACTTGAATTCATTTCTGAAGTAAAAATTTTATCGAGAAATGTAAAAACATCTTTTTGTTCAGGCAATTTTTTTTCTTTTTCAATTGTTGATTTTTTCTTATGTTTTTTTATTTTAAATGCATCTGGTAATCTATTCTTCTTTTTTAATTCCAATACAGCATCCAAAGATCTTCCTAAAAGAATTAAAGATTAAACAATATAAAAACAAAATTTATTAATTACCTTTTGGTAAAACTCGAGCTTCTATTGGATTGACTAATCCTTGATTTCGTACTCCAAGACCTTGACCAGCTTTATAACCCATTTTTGCAAGTAATTTAGAACCGATTCCCTAAAAAATATTTGAATATGAACTCTTGATAAATATAAAGATTACTTACTCTCGTATGTTTTTCCCAAACTCCTAAATTTCCTAATCTTGGTTGATCAGTAGATGAACTTGGAATATCTTGAATCGCATTTGTAACATCATCATCATCATTTTCATCTTCACTATTTGTTTCCATCTGTTGGAAACTATCTATAACAAAAAATAAATGATTTATATTTAAATATTCTATTATATTATTTTACTTGTAGGGATGATTGATTCAAATGGTATAGCTTCCAAAGCATTGAAATGAGTAAAACGTACAACACAAACATGATTATCATTTTCAACACTTTCAATAGCTCCTAATTTCCATAAATGATCAGTACCTTGTTTACATAATACTTTTTGACCAACAACGAGAGTCCTTTAAATAAATATAGTTTAATTATACAATATAAAAAATAATTTGTCATACTCATAATTTGGTTCAGCATATTCAAGAAGATCATTAACAGAAATAACAAAACCATGAGAAAATCTGAAAGATAAAATATGAATAAAAAAGATAAACTATGTTTGTATTCATACTTGCAAGTATCACCAAAACGACATGAATCATTAAGAAAATGTGGACATGGTTTAAAATCAAGACGTGTAGGTTGACAAAATAAAACTCGAACCTAAAATTTCTTCGTAGAAATATTATTTAAAAGAAATATAGAAATATCTACTGTATTATCTGCTATAGATTCCATACTTAGCACAACAGCATTATGTTGTTGTAAACCACTGACAGGACAATTAATTTTTACACTACAATTGGTACCTGAAAATAGAAATGAAGTTAATTGTGAATAAAAAAAATATCGAATTAGTAACGAACCAGCAATGTCTTTAACAATAGAACTTTCTATTTCTTCATCAGTTTCGTCTTCATCGTCACTGCTATCAGATTCGGATGAAAGAGTGACACATGGCGTTGGATCAGAATCATCAAGTATAATTATTGAGTCATCTAAAGATATAATATATATTTATGATATAAAGCTAAGAAGAATAATCTTACCATTATTACTATTAACTGTATTAAATAAAGATAGAGCTTCTCGAAGATCTGAACGTAATTGTCTTAATTCTGCACTTGCAACACCTTCCTCTTCTTCTTGTCGAAGAATAGCATCTTCAACAACTTTTAGCTAAAAATTAATAAAATCATTTTATTTTTATTATTCTTATATTTTTTTACTTGTGTTTGATAAGTTTCTATAAATTCATTGTCATTTTGTGAATCAGTCATAATAAAATAATTCTAATGAAACAAGATCAAATCAATACTATAATCCAAACGATCTGATCTCAGTACTAGTTATAAAATTACAAAATTTCGAATAGATCCATATTAAACTGCTTCACAAGAGAGATTATATTGGTTCATATAAACAAATTGAAAAACTCGGAAAAGATGTCACTACATTCAATAGTGGACATATACAATTCACACCATTTTTATATTCAATGATATATTTATGAAATAGAGATTATTGATTAGTCTAAGTTAATGTATTCCTTCTTTTTTTATTTCTCAAACGGCACCCTATCATTTCGTCCCATGCATTATGTTCACTGTCTTTCGTTTTTAATTCATCTTATATTCTATGTCCGTCCACAGTTTTTCCCTGTTGATTCCTATCTTGAAGTTGTAGGTATGGATGTCCCTTGTTGATCTAATGACAATACTCACACTTACACCCTTTCTCACGATGAATTTAAATATTTTTAGTATCGAACAGATTCACATTGAATTAAACTCAAAATTAATCCAATTCATAATTCACATTATGCATCGACTATTTTATCAGAATATAGAAGAATGAAACTTCATCTAAATGATAAAGTATCTATACCTATTTCTCAAAATTTAAATAAAGTAAAAAATAAATAAATCATATTAAATAATTAATGAGATTTCTTTTTGTTTTAGTTAAATGATGATTCAAAAACAAAAGATTCGAGATTAACATGAGATGATGCATCATCATCAGTGTTATAAGAAATTCAAAAAAATTAAATTAACTTTCACAAAAATTCGGCTAAAATAGCATAAACTAAACTCAAAGATGGTATTAGCCTCTTCACTTAAATAAAGTATCAGACATTTCACAAGTTATTTTAATACTAGACATCAACAAAATATATACTGTAATTTCCTACAAAAACTCTCTCAATATTTCGAACAGAGTAATTACTCTCTACTATTTTCTAAGAACTTCGAGCGATTGAAAACGATTTTATCAGTAAAATGTTAAGAAATATATTTTTTCAAGTAATTACCGGTTTTAATCATTCATTCTCATAATCGATTAAAATCAAATGTTTTTCTATCTTTTTCTTTTAGGTGGATCTTATGGTTCAGTCACAGATAAGTATTTGTTATTTCACATAACGCAACTGTTTCTTCTTTCACATTGACCTTTGACTTCTAATAGGCTAGACCGAATTAAACTGCATTATTATATGTGATCGATGTTGTTACATGTTAATATCAAATGCATTTTATAATTCACCTACAATTTCGCCTAGGCTGTTTGAGGCCTTATGTAGATATATTGCCTACATGCTTTTCTTTGTAACACTATGCTCGATAGTTGACCTTTTTTAGTCATTTTACTCTTAAGACGAGCCATTCATAAAACAGAGAATAAGAAACTGCCTATTGACATTCGTGCTTTCTCCTGTTTCTCTTATTTCTATACCTCGTCATAAATAAGTTTTCTTTATTCACACTTGTGTTAGCTTTTTCGTCAAGCGAAAGATTGAAGGATGAACAACAACGACTAGAAACACTTATACCAACACAAACATGGTACGAATAAATTGAGAACATTAGAAGAATAGTACACATAATTCAAACAAGACAACAGTTAATTTTTCTTTAACTTTATTTTATTTCACTGTGATAATCTTAGGGAGTATTCTTTCGATTGTTTTATCCCACTTGTTAAATTATAGTTTTTATTTTGTATTCATGGTTATATATTTCAGGATCCACCGATCAACCAACGACAGCAGTGGGAGAGAGATTGGGATGCTTATATCAATTGGTTCAAAGCTCAGTTGGAGGTGTGGGAAGTCCATGTGACTCAGCTGACGGCTGTGGTAAACGAAATGAACGCTCGAGCGGACGCAGAGGACGCTCTAGCAAATGCATACGAGGCTCTAGCGGGTGCAAAGGAGTCTCGGGCGGATGCAATGGAGGCTCTAGCGGATGCAAGGGAGGCTTGGGCGGACGCAATGGTGGCTTGGGCGAATGAAGTAATGGGTTGGTTTGATGAACCGGAAGTGGATCCGGCAGCATGGACAGGTGGATGAAGATCGGTGATAGTTGATATTGCCACGATACGGATCAGTATTGCAAATGAATGATCACGAATGTGACATTTCTTCAGCTCTTGTATTTTTTTTTGTGTTGAAATAAAATATAAATAAAATCATTTCTTTACACTTTCTAAAACAAAAGCAACAGAATATAAAGACTATACAGGACAGATGACTTTTATGGAGGAAAAATAGTCTGATAGTTCTTTTTCGATCAAAAACGTTCGAACAAAATTTGTGCCATGTCGTGTAACACACCAAACATTATTGTGTGAAGATCTTACTTTTAAAATATCTCATTCTACTAACAAATCATTTTCATCACCACAAGTTTACTACAATGGAATCTTCTTTGTTAAAAACAGAAGTTGAATAAATCAAAAAAACAATAAATAGAAATAAAACTTTTATCTTTATGAAATAAAGATAAATAAATTCTTTTCGAAAAATAAAAACTTTTATAATTTAAAAAAGGAAGCTAGAATTAAATTCATGTACTCAGCAATATATTAAAAATATGAATCATCTGATCGACAATATGTACTATTAACGATTGATTCATATCATTCATTAGTTCCAACATTTAATCCTCTTCATCCTTTATAGTTTTCTTCAACAACAAACAACTAAAGCAACTTATGCTGATGATTGATATCGAATATTTCGTTGTAAAAACTAGTCAAACATCAGTTTATGTTTGATTATCGATCACTATCAAGTAAAATTTATAAAGAACACTTCAATTATTGTAATTATTGCATTTTTTATTTTGTTTATCAAAAATGATGTTGAATCTGATTTACTTTATTTCTTTATTTTTTATTATAAAGAAAAATAAAAATAAAATAACACTCCTAAAGACAAAATGATTGTATAAGACAGAATGAGTTTTTCTGCGTGAAGAAATTAGAATATATATGAATTCTCGAAAGTTCTAATTTCCTAGTAAAGTCCTGGTATTTATCAATGAAGCTATTTTATTCCTTTGCATGTTATGAGCCTTCGTTGTTTCTCGTACTTCTCCTAGTCCTCTTAGTCCTCCAGCTGACTGAAAGGGTTGAATCGCAGACTTGATGTAGTGAATTTAACAGACTAGTTTCTCAGTCCTTCGGGTCTCTATTTTATTCGAAATATAATCTCCTTTTCTTCTCTAAATTTAGATTGAAATCTAATACACCATTATATGGTGTGGATGTGGGTGTCAGTGTGGCTCAATAAAAGATGAACCCACACCCATTTGTTGTGTTCCTTTTACTGTGCTTGATTGTATTTATATTATTAGATTATTACCTTGTTAACCTACTGCAGGAACAATAAATCCTTCAGTTTTAAAAAAAAATGTTGTTATGATGGTATTTTCATTTTACTTATACGCCTGATTATTAAAAAAATATCGAATGTCTTGGTTTTTTCTCTTTAGCTATAGTTTGTATTTATTCTGTGACACAGATAAGTAGTAATTACGGCAGCGAAAGAAATGTTGATGATGACGTTGCGAAAAGAACTCGTTGAAAATCTTGTCATAAGAAAAATGCTTCGTTGGAAAAAACACTGTTATTATTTGTATGTTTTTTCTTTCTATTCACTGAACAAACAAAAAGTCACGAATAAGAAAAAAAACCCAGTTATGGTGTTAAGTAAACAAGGTAGAATGTATATAAGACGAGAGTAACAGAGACAAAAGTCATTCATATCCGTCGACAACTACAAAAAACTCTTTCACAGTCCGTCATCACGTGAGTAACTGTTTGATCAGCTGTTTAAATGGGAAGGACCTTAAATTAGTTTTCAATCGACTAAAGTCAATCGAAAAATAGTCCCCTCACAAAAGTTAACAAATTTGAAAACAGTAGTTATTTGTGTTTCAAACTAGAGTTCCAAAAATAAATGTAGTTTAGCGTCAAATCTTGGTGCATATCTAAAGAGTGCTATTGCCTTATAACTTGTTTTAGATTTTTCTAAAAAACATTGAACATAAGCGAATCAACTAACTTTTCATGCTGATCACCCAAGTCTGATGTTAAGATTTTATTTAATATGAAATATACTAAACCAAAGTTAATGACAGATTAAATAGATAACACTAATATTAACTTGTTTAGAGTATTGTTATATGTACTTACTTCCACCTTTTACGGTTTTTGCCCATAAGAAACATTCAAAAGAAATCTGTACCGTCATTTTCTACATTTTAAACAGATTCATTGACGTATTCTTCGAATTAAGATACTATTTCTGTATAATAATGGATCTTTGAATAATTTTTTATATTGCTGACTAGTAGAGATGTACGTAATGACTTGATCGACGATGACGAAAATATGTAATCTTGTTTTGGCATTCGATTGCAACTGCTATAAATCTTCTGTAACTCATTTTAAACTACTTTCAGCGCTCAAAGATTTCGAAATGGAAAGGGTATGGGTGTGGGAGTGAATTCATCTTTTACTTAGCTACACTTACACCCGCACCCTTCTTATCATATAGATTCTTTTAAAAGATATTGAGGTTGAAAAAGCAGTCTTATCGTTGCTCATGATTTTAAAATTACTAAAGCCATCGGCAGCACCGGCTTAACCGACTTACGTACATCCCCACTCACTAATGACAGTGTAAATCAATGTGGGATTGATTTAGTTGTATTATTTAAGTTTGTCTTACAGTTTCACTAGTGTCGACTTATGCAAAATATAATGCAATTGCCTAGTTGCACATACTTTGATTGCGCATATCTTCTTTTTAAATAGGTTTTATCTGTGTTGCGCTAGGTTCATACACATAAATTTAATACTTATTCGATTATCATTTAGATTTGAAATATAACGATGTCATATCGTCCTCCATATCTACAAGCAGACGCACAGCAAAGAGGAGATGCAGCGCACATTCGACAAATGGATGACAATAGTGGGAGAAAACTTCTTCCATCAGGAGAGCGTCAATTTGTGAATCAAGTGATTCATGATAAATCAACAGTCCATGAATCAAAGTTCGATGGTCAATTAAATGGAATGAAGGATAAATATGGGCACTAACTCGATGTAGTACTCGGTTTTATGATAACGAATTTCCTTTTTACTCATTATATTTTTCCTTCCCTAATTAATGTGTGCCTGTCCTTCTGCTCCTCATCCATTTACTTTTCCTCATTCCTATTATAATTCAAGACTTAATAAATAGATTCAATAAACCTAGTTTAAATCAATGATATGTATGTGTATAGAAAGCAAAATCTTCGCCAGAGTTAAAAAAAAGCTGCTAGAAGATGCAAAGTAAATGCTTCATTTCGGTGTAGGTGCAGGTGTAAGTAAAGGTGTAGCGTGGGTATAGGCGTAGATGCATGAAGGTATAACTATCTTGACTCTCTCACAGTCACATCTACCCATACCCACGCGCACATCACTCACACCCCTAGATTGAAGATATCTTGAAAAAATAAGATTGCTACGAATAATAAAGGTGTTTGCACTGTAAATTGAATTTACTAGATATTTTTGCATTTACAGAAAGTCCTCATTGCCAAACTAACAAAGTTAAAATATTAGCGACTGTTGGCTTTCCTAGAGAGAGATATTCGAATTTTAACGCATATCCAGCATATGTAATGTGTCAACAAGTGAAAATTTTAGAAGAATTTTTCAAAAGGTTTTCGTGGTGGTTAGATAGAGCTCGTCATGTTGAATAAGAAAAAGTACATTTCAGATTTTAAAAACATATTTTATGAAGACTTCAAGATATAGTATGTATTCAATATCATTATGTAAAATTCATTGGTAATAGAGGATATCTGTTTTGATTCTACAGATTTTTCATGCATCATAGTGACATGAACTCGATCAACTTGAAGAAATAGAGAAAAATATATATATATAAATAATGCAGAAGTAGACTTTCAAGAAAATAATTAATTTCATTATTCCAACTTTCAAAATAGTTCATCTCGGCAAAGCTAAGCAATGTGTGGTGAAGAAGAAAGGAATGAACAACATATGGATTATGAAAGTTTTCAAATATCATATTAGCGATTGGTGACGTCTGTCATGATATATGTATAAATAAAAAAGATCATGGTGAGCAAACCTATCTCTTTCTATTTAACGAATCATTAATGTTCATTCATTTGTAGTACGATCCCAAAGAAAGAGAGAGATCCAACTATTATCTTTTTGATTTATTATTTATTTCTCCACTTTTATTAAATCATTCTTCACTTAAACTCTTTACTTGTAATAAAGAGTTTAAGTCACCGTTTCCGATGGTCGGACTGATCGTCCTGGGTATCCAGACAAAGAAGGTCTAATATCTAAATTAGATATCAGAATCAGAACCACATAAATACGGAAATTCCTGAGATTTGGCCTCGCAGAAACCTGGGACGGCCAATACCAACAGCAGCACTAGTTCCAGCACCTGTGACAGTGATATAAGGAGACTCACGGCGATCAAATATGGTATGTTTATTTTGATAAGAATTAATTGTATTTATTATTTTTCTTCATTACAGGACATTAGGATCGATTGAGGTGGGAAGGCACGAGCTGCAACCATACATGACTCCAGCGGTGCTGATGAAGATAGTCGAGGTGGAGGTGATCGTGATCGTGGTCAGAGTGAAAGTAGTGGTGAAGGTCAATCAGAAACCTCAGTATAGTTCTCCTCCCCTCACCCTCTCCCTGTTTTTTTTTGTATATTTTGTTTTTTGTTTTTGTAATAATAAATTGAAAAAACTAATATGATCTTTTTCTGTCGAAGGAAAAAATGTTGAGAAAATAACTTCCAACACACATATGTCGAATCAGTTTTTAATAGTGATTCCAAAATGCTGTTAGTTTTGACTTGACTTCAATTAGTTCGAGTGAAATTAACGGAATAAGGTCTACAATTCAGAAAGTTATGCTGTATTTTTCTCTCAGATCTAAACGAGGACAGCTAAGATGTTCATATCCGACATACTGATGAGTGATCCTATAAAGAATAGAATGATTTAAATCTCTCTTTACGCGAGTACATTCAAATATGTTCCCTTGTTAGTCAAGTAACATTTTAAGATTTAAACTAATAAACGAAAATAAAATATATTGATACTATAGAATTTGAAGAGTTTTTAGATTTATTGTATAAAAGTATTTCTAATTAAGTAACTATCTGACTAAAGTATATTTTCATTATTATATTTTAAAAATAAGAGATATATGATATGCTAGATTGCCAAGGACATGAGTGAGGGTGCGGTTAGAGCGTCATGCCCTATATACACGCCTTTTTCCTCTATTTGTATTCCTGAATTTTAATAACTCGAGTAGCTGTTTAACTAAAGATTAAACACGACAATTTTAGTTTGAGCTGCCAACCAATTTGTTATATTCAATATTTCTTTGTCTTATATTTGTAATGGATCATTATCTAATGTTACAGTATTAACATCATATCATCATTTATTTACTTAAACCAGTTTACTTACGTAATAAAAAATAATGGTTTTATCATAAATTTTCTTTCAAATTGTGATACGAAAAAAGAAGAATATTTAGAAGATGATTTTCGTTATCAAACAATATTAAATCTAGGTAATAAATATTGATCAATCTTAGCATCTCATCGTGGTGATGTTAATCAGAATAATGATTTCTATGTTCTTATGCGTGATAAAATCGAAAATGCTGTTAATGAAGCATTAGCAGCTTTTGATTATCATCGATTTAATGGTAAAGAATCACGTTTAATTCACTGACTTTGTCTTGGAACAATAATATAAATTTTATTCTTTTATGTATATCATTTGAAAATATCAATATATAAAGAGAAATATTAAAGATTTTCTTATATTGATTATCATTGATGAAATCGAATATTTTCGCTGGAGAATTTTTTCACTTTTTTAAATTTTATTCTTTCATAAGTAGAAAGTCTCTTATATAAAATATAACTGGTCTATTTACATTTGAAATTGAATTTTGAATAATTTATTTGTCAGTGACGAAAAATGATAAAAGTGATGGTGAAGAAATGACTGGATACTATCGACTATGGATTAAATCATTTGAAGATATTTTTATTATATTTAATTGAATAATAAAATAAATATTTTGAGATGAAATATGTCGAATTGTATTTGTTGATTACAGAAGTGAATGCTCTATCGAACATTCAGAATTATTAGCTTGTCCATCATTATTATCCTGTTCGCGATGGTTTGCTATAGATGCTCATTTCTAACAATATCTTTCTCATGATGAATTTAAATATTTTTAGTATCGAACAGACTCACATTGGATTAAAACCAAAGTTAATCCAATTCATAATACACATTATGCATCGACTATTTTATCAGAACATCGAAGAATGAAACTTCATTTAAAAGATAAATTATCTAAATCCATTTCTCAACATTTAAATAAAGTGAAAAATAAATAAATCATATTAAATATTTAATGAGATTTCTTTTTGTTTTCGTTAAATGATGATTCAAAAAACAAAAGAATCGAGATTAATACGAGATGATGTATCATCATCAGTGTTATAAGAAATTCGAAGAAAATAGCATAAACTAAACTCATAGATGGGATTAGCCTCTTCACTTAAATAAAGTATCAGACATTTCACCAGTTATTTTAATACTAAACATCAACAAAATATACACTATAATTTCCTGTAAAACTCTCAATATTTCGAACAGAGTACTCGTTACTATTTCCGAAGAACTTCGAGCGATTTAAAACGATTTTATCAGTAAAATGTTAAAAAACATATTTTTTCAAGTAATTACAGGTTTTAATCATTCATTCTCATAATCGACTAAAATCAAATGTTTTTCTGTCTCTTCCTTTTAGATGGATCCTATTGTTTAGCCACAAATAAGTATTTGTTATTTCGCATAAAACAACTGTTTCTTCTTTCACATTGACCTTTGACCTCTAATAGACTAGACCGAATTAAACTCCATTATTATATGTGATCGATGTTGTTACATGCTAATATCAAGTACATTTCATAATTCACCTACAATTTCGCCTAGTCTGTTTGCGACCTTGTGCAAATATATTGCCTACATGCTTTTCTTTGTAACACTATGCTCAATAGCTGACCTTCTCTGTTCATTTCATTCTTGGAACGAGCCATTCATAAAACAGAGAATAAGAAACTGCCTATTGACATTCGTGCTTTCTTTTGTTTCTCTTATTTATATACCTCAGTTATAAACAAATTTTCTTTACTTATACTTGTGTTAGCTTTTTGGTCGAGCGAAAGATTGAAGTAACAACAGCAACAAATAGAAACACTTATACGAATACCGACATAGTACGAATAAATTGAGAATATTAGAAGAATAGTACACATAATTCAAACAAGATGAAAGTTCATTTTTCTTCAAGTTTATTCATTTTCTATATGATCATTTTATTGGCTATTCTTTTGATCATTTTATACTACTTGCTGATTCATCTGTGTGCTTGGACAGATGAAATGCAGGCTTGGAAGAATAGAATGCAGGCTTGGAAGAATAAAATGCAGGCTTGGGCTCATGCAGTGGATCCAGCAGCATGAACAGGTGGATAAAGATCGGTAATTGTTGGTATTGCTACAATACAGATCAATATTGCAAATGAATGATCTCGTGTGTGACATTTCTCCAGCTCTTGCATTTTTTCTTGTTTTGTTAAAATAAAATATAAGTAAAATCATTTTTTTGAACTGTTTAAAACAAAAGCAACGGAGTATAAACACTATAGAGGACAGATGACTCTTATGGAGGTAAAAGTAGTTTGATAGTTCTTTTTCGATCAACAACGTTCGAACATAATTTATGCTATGTCTTGTAACACACCACACATTATTGTTAAAAATAGAAATTTAAATGAATTAAAAAGAAACAAGATAATACAACATTGACAGAATTTATTCCATGAACCATAGTTTACAGTTACTTAAGAAGTCATTGGTTATTGTTAACAATTTATTAAAAGTAAAAAGTTTTATAATTCAAAGAAGGAAGCTAAAACTAAATTCATCTATTCAACAATATATTAAAAATATTAATCATCAGATCGACAATATGTATTATTAACGATGGGTATATATGTCTATCATCGCACACCCACACCCTCAAAATAACGATTTACATAAAAAAAGATGTAGTTGGCATTTAATTTTATTAAATCGAAAATCAAACTTTTCTAATATCAATTTAAAACGTAAAAAAAGTGAAACGTATTTATATGAACGAGAAAAGCATTGAAGAACTGTCAAACTTCGAATAAAAATATATTGCTAAACTATTGATCTTTAAAACTTGAATTTGAACAAAATTTTCTCTATTACGTTATAGTTAACATGTACAATTTTAGTTTATTAACTATTAACATTCTCAATACAGTATGATTAGTACGGACCAGTCTAGATTGATTAGATCGTATTGATAATGCTAGCATAAATATGTCAATATTTTACATCCTATACTATAGCATATTCTTTATTCAAATAGATACATAAACTTATGTTTAGAATAGATGATAAGAAAATATTATAATCTATTTTATATGCAAGATTAATTCCATTCTTATCATCGTAAAAAGTCTGTTGCATACTTTTTTACTTGACTTTTTACTTGAAACACTTGATGATTCAACAAAAGGTTCAAAAAAATTCTGTGTTCAAAGTATACTAGATCAAAATAACAATAAAGAAATACTAAGTAAACTATTTTAAAAAGAAATTATATATTTTATTATTAAACAAATGTATTATTTTATATAGAAGAACTTGTTGATAAACAAAAACGAGATAAATTATGGGATATTTATTTGGGTACAAAAGAAAATGTAGACGATTGAATAGCACATGCTGAAACAGTTCGTATTCGTAATAGTTTTCAAAGAACGCTTGATGATAGTTATATGAGATATACGAATTCAAATTTATGGGTATCAGATACCGATATATCTTCACTAGGTTCACGTCTACGTACTCGTCGACGGTCATCATCAGATCATAAAATTCTTGAAGAATGGCAAATACTTGCTAATAAATTCAAAACTCATGAGAATTGGCCATGGACTATACGAAAATTATTCATTCGAAGACATCTACGACGACAACGATATGCATCAGATTGTGGATCAGCACCTTAATTATTGATTTTTATATTAGATTAAATATATATATATACATACGTGTGTAGAACATAACCAAGTGATACAGATAACAACAGATAAAAAATGTGCGATATCTATTAAGAATATTATAGAGAAAGTACCACTGAATGATTAACAGAATTTCTATGTCAATAGATATGATCATTAAGCATGCAAAAGATTGAACACTTTATAAAATAATCAGATAGATGATAAATTAGTAAAAAAAAAGTATATTTGTGTGACAAAATTGAAAAACATTATATGATAAATAATTCACATAATTGAATTTTTTCTAATAATTAATGATGTAATCACGAAATAAACAAAATGTTACAATTTAATCAATAAGTATTTCATGAGGTAATGTAGCGCTACTTGTAACATACCTTACCTGCAGCTTGTTTTTTCATTTCTTTGTTCGAATTTAATTTTATGAAAAAAATAAATCCTTTCAATGTCTACTTCCGAGTTACTTGAATACGTCATTTGGTGATCAACAAATACTCATAGTTATTTGGGAAGTAACAAAATGCGCGTAATGCTTCATACGCAAATATTCCAACATTGCTACGTTACATTCTGTTTGATTTTAATAAGCCAATAATGTAACCTAGTAACTTATTTTTTTAAGAATTCTTTGTGTACGTATGTACGTCATTGGGAAATAGTTGTATAGCTTCAACCGAATATTGTTTGTAGTAGAATACAAATACGCATATGAGTGACGTTGTGTAGGTGAATGAGACTATAAATTTCGTTTGATTTCGACAACTTCTACACAAACTCACACAGAAGTAGAAAAACGGTTCATATTAACAGCTGAATAATAAATAATCGAATATGAAATTGTTAACTGTTATTAATGGATGCATCTTAGTCGTAGCTTGCATACTTTATATTGCTAGTAATGCGGTTCCATCATTATATGTATACTTTCATTCATTCTTTCTCAATCAAAAATATTCAAAGAATAATCGAAAAAAACAAGATATAAGTTCTAATAGTTCTTATACTTTAGGAATGAAACAACTTCTGGAAGTACTACTACTGCATATGGCTTATGGAAAACTTATTACTCATATTCTGGTGTAACAACCTGTAATAATATCAACTGTCCAGCAGTGACTGATGATAACGGTTTCTGTAGTAGAATAATGGTTAGTAGAGCTTTCATGACATTAGCTTGTATTTTATCTGGTATTACAGCTATATGTCTCTTTATATGTGCATTTATCGATGAAAAGAAAAGTCGAATATTCTCACTAATAACTATAGCACTTGCTTCTGTATGTTTGATTATGGGAATCATAGGAGTAGCTGTTGGCGGCAGTATCCAACAAACACTTTATCTAAATAGTAGTCAATTGAATTTCGGTACAGGTTTCATAATAGGAGCTGTAGCAGTTGGCATCAATTTTATTGGTACTATTGAACGTTGGACTGTGAAAAAGTCAGAAAAATAAAAAGAACGAAAAAGGACGTTTTCGTTTCACTACTTCCTGAATCTTTGTAGTGAAAATTTCATTTTTCTTATGATTTCTTATCTTTACTTTTAATCTAGATTCATCTAATAAACTCGATTAATAACTTAAAATTCAGCTAGTTGATGTGCTAAAAATTTATTAGAACAAAGAAAGACAACTGATTTTAAATAATAAACTATTCTCAGTTCATAACACGACTGAAATAGATTCAATTAAAAACAAAAATAATCATTCAGAATTATAACTAGATTTCGACGCATCTAAATGAATCTTGAAAGAACGTATTGTTTTTCGTTTACTTACATATAGATTCAGTTCAATTACATTATTTAAAAAGGGTCTTTGTTTCGTTATGTAATATTCAAAATATAATTCAAATGCTTCTACAAATGAAATTAGGAATAGGATGTTTTCTGATCTTATAAGCATCACGTAAATATTTAATATATATGTATATTTTTTCTTCAATATTTAAAAGATTGACTATATTATATTTTCGTTATTCCTTGTATATACTGAAAGGACTCGTCCTAATGCTACTTTTTGCAGAGAAACAAACACAGTAAGTTTCTGTGAAAATGACATTATCGTATTTTCTATTTAAAAATATTTTTTGACATCTCAATAAAAGAGAAGTTTCGCGAGCTTTTTTTAAGTGATCTCACGTACGGTTACTTTGTCATTATGTTCTTTTTATTACTATTGTGATGTTATTGTGTATGTATTCCATTTATATTCTCTTTTGTTCTGCTGTCATGCACGTACGCTCTTCTCTAATAATATGTTTCAGTATATTTCTACTTTCTTTATAAAAATCACGTATTTTCGTTTTCGTATTCTTGAATAAGTTCTCTTCACTTTGCTACGATCTAGTAAATTCTTTCCTCATCTTTATTCTTGTAATAGCAAACATTTCATACAAATGATAGAATAATATTTCTTTTTGAATATTTTGGTCCTATCATGAACAACTTTTATCATTGAATATACATGATAATCTATTATCTACGTTTGTTCATTGGCATTACAATGGAATAGCGTTATTCGTATAGATAACTAAATAATTCTAAAAAGCAATAGATTCTTTTCAGTTTGTCTCATGAAATCAAAGACAGTATGAACAGTTATTGTCCATATTAAAAATGTACATTAATTTAAATGTATCTATATAGAATTCGAACATGGATCATTGGTAGATTCGAATAATAAAATAAATTCTTTTCTCATTCCTTCTTTTACCAATATATATGAATCATAGAAAGTGTTAAATAGAAAGCTAAGAGAATCTTATTTAACACTGAAAAATTCTTTTTGATACAAAATGAACATGAAATTTGAATTATTACCAAATGAAATATTCATTGAATGTTTTCAATATTTGAATGCACCAGATATATTCTATTCATTTGATCGGTTAAATTATCATTTTTATACACTTATTCGAACTATTCCAATATGGTTGAATTTTGAAAAATTCAAAAAATCCAAATTTAATCAATTTTGTCAAATAATATTATCAAATCCAGAATTAAAACATAAAATAATTTCATTAAAATTATCAAATGAAGGTACACGTGGTCAAATTGAAGAATTTCTTTCTTTATTTCCGTTAAATGAATTTATTAATCTTCGATCATTATCACTAATTGGTTTAAAAGAGGAAAATGTTGAACAATTGAAACCGATGTTAGCATTATTATCTAATTTGTACTATTTTTCTTATACTGATTTGGAATATTGTACTTTAGAAATACTATCTGAATTATTAAAATCGGAATTACGAATTTTATCAGTACAGGAATGTGAAGGTAGCACATCTATTTTGAAAGAAATGTCAATTACATCATTAACACTTTTTGATTGTACTTGGAATGAATTACTTGAAGTGCTCCAATATGCATTGTCATTGAAATATTTAAAAATTGACCAATTGTGTAGGTATACGCATGTAAATAATCCATTAAAGTTTTATACTGGAAAGGCTGTTCATTTAAAACAATTGATTATCGATGATACTAATGCTGACTTTGAAATGATTGAGCAATGCTTAAAGCGTACACCTAATTTGACAATTTTCACAATAAAAGCCGGTAATTGTGTGAGCATGATCAATGCTGATCGTTGGCAACATTTGATTGAATCTTCATTATTACACTTACGTGTTTTCAATTTCTATTTTAGTCATTCTTACTCTACAGATTCTTATAATGACATACTGAACAAATATCAACAATTTCAAAGTAACTTTTGGTCTAAACAGCATCAATGGCATACAAATTATGAAATTCATAATGGTTTAGCATCAATCTATACTATACCATATGTGTGGAATCAATATACATTAGTAACTTCCAACAGTAATTCTGGTAACTTAAATGGATTTGATAACGTTACTGAGTTAACTTTGTCACAAATGGCAATTAAAGATAATTCATCATATTATTTTAATAATGTTAAATCATTAAAATTAATAAATGAATACCAGTCTGGTAAAAATCCGGATGAGCACAAGTTACAGAAAGAACAAATAAAATTTTTAAATAAAATTGTTAATTTATCAACTATTAAACATTTAAAAATTCCAGCATCAGATGACGTGCTATCATCATCATCATCATTATTATTAGAAATATTAAAACAATTACCATATGTATCATCATTACAAATTGATAAACGTGATTTAATATTATATGTTAAGGATCATGAATTATGTAAATATTTAAATACAAAGATTACTACACTATATTTATATAATTATAAGTACTATGGTGAGTATATTAAATCTGACGAAGTAGATTTACTTCTTGAGTCATTTTCAAATCTCGAACAACTTCGTTGTAATATCGGATCCTCTGTTAGTTTATCATTAATAGTAAACAAATTTTCAAAATTATCAATAATAAACAGTACATATATAACCAAAGAGGTGCATTCATGGATTCAAGAAAATGCATCGAAATTAAATGTATACATTGATTTTTATTCAATTGATGACTAAGTATATCTCTAACGGCAAAATACTTTCATTGAAGGAAACAGCAATTTATCATATTTTAGATTTTTTTCATTGTTAATCATTTTCGTTTTTTTTTCTTCATAACATATTAAACTTTTGATAGTTATACCGAACAAAATGTATATTTGAAATAAACATGTAAAATTATACCAAATGACATAGACTATAGTGAATTTAACTCAATTTAAAATTTCTTAGAACCGCTATCTCACTTCTATTTAAATCTGAACTCTAGTTCACGATTGCACTATCGCACCGCTGTTTGAATCATGGCATGCATAAAGAAAAAAATGATTGATTTCATCTCGATGGATAATTTGAAAGTCGTAAAAACTAGCTAAGATACCACTCTTAGAGCTTCCGTCATTTAAGATTGGATTCCCAAATCAAAAATTAGAAAAATTTTCGAGGTAGCTTAAATTATAAGGAAACGCCTCCATCATCGATTTCACATCTCAGACTTCAACAACTGATGTTTTTCAGAAAATAGTTTGAGAAGCTTTCTTTATACTACTAATTTATTTCCTATGATCTTGAATTCGAAACAAAAAAAAACATTTATCTGTAGCTAATTATGTTCTAGAATTAAGAATATGCAATGCACATAACTGAATAGTCGAATAAAATCTTGCATTGATTGAATCTTCTGCATTAGATATATGTCTCATCATAAAATCATCTGATAACACTCGACAGAACAGAGACACATCATTTTTATTGTCAAAGAGAAAACAAATAAGTTCAATCATGAACTGGATTTAATTTTCGAACGCTCATAATTCCTTTCGTATAAAAAAGATCGTTGAGTTCAATAAATAACTGAAATAATAAACATTACTCGTATTATACATGGAAAACTAGTAAACAATGATAAAAATCGAGAATGGACGTATTTCTTCATTCTTAGCCACTACAAATGAAATATAATTATTTCTAAATAGTCATCTTGTTATGTGTTAATACATTCGAAAAGGATCTGCTATTCGATAAAGAAAACTATCTGGCGCGTGTAAGCCAAAAAAAATTTCGATAATATAAACTAATATAACATATTTTTGTTTACAGTTAAATAGCCACTTAATGTTATTGATGAATAGAAACCAATACTTTGAGAGTATAGAATTTTTTCAAGATCTATTGTACGATCAGCTATGATTAATTGATGTTCAAGTGTTACTTATGGAGCACATATAATTTTCATTCTTGGCAATGACAAATGAAGACTATAAAATATGAATCTGTCAAACTAATTGTATGTCCTTCGATAGTTGTGAATGTGTCGAAATAGGATATATTTAAATTATTTTTTGTTAATCTAAATTTGAAGTTATACAAACTTGGAGTACTGCAGTATTAAATAAAATGTCTTCTCACAGAATTGTTCTACTACGAAAAAAACTAGGTCTGGTTTATTATTTGTGAACGTCGAATTTCAAATAGATTTTTGGATAAAGTGCTGCCCTTCGAACAACAAGATGATGGATGAATCCAAACTGAATAATTCGTGAACGCCAAGAACTAAGCTTAAATAGTATATTTTAATGTATGTTTGTATTCAAACTCAGATTAGTCTAAAATCGAGTTTACACACAACAATATATCTATGACCACTTAATAATTTGACAACTGACTCTCAGTCATCTAAAATTTTGGCTAAAATAGATACCTGCTTGCTGATTAAAACGACGAGTAGTTGTGCAAGTTTTCTAGTAAAAAACTTTGTCAGGTTGCTGCTTAGTCCACTCAGTTATGTTCATTTTTAGAGACAACATTCAAGGACCCTTCAGAACCATAAATCTTGAGGGCGAATGGTTGTGAATCTTAGTAGGAATGACGAAGAGATAGTCACTTACACCATCACCTACATCCACAATATGTATTAAGTTTAAGAACAACAGTAGTTTTATTTAATGCTTTCGCAAAAATCACAGCACAAAATAAAACATGCCGATGATTGTCACTATCTATTCGCTCCTCATCCAAATAAATTTAACATGAGTATTCACGGTTTTCTTTCTCTTTTATTCCGTTCAAGCAATTCCACGATCTCTTCGTTTATCTTATCACTGATTTTGTCATCAAACAGATCTAACGCGGTGAGTGTCTACACAAAAAAAAGATAAAGGTATGGCATAGCTGACGAGCAAATCAAAATTACTGTGTTATATCTTAATGCATCACGCAGATGTTGAGCTCCAACATCTCCGATTTCGTTGGTACAGAGATCTAATCCGGTGAGTGTCTAGATGGAAAAGCGCTGATAATGATACGATATAAATAAAGAAAAAATAATAAGTACCGTATTATGTTGTAATCCATGAGCTAAATGTTGTGCTCCAGCATCTCCAATGTAGTTATACTCGAGGTTTAGCGTAGTGAGTGTCTAGATAAAAAAGCAGAGGCAAATATTTGATACAGATGAAGAGAGAAAAACAATTACTGTGCTGTGCTTTAATAAATCACCCAAATGTTGTGCTGCAGCATGTCCAAAGTCACTACCACTGAGATCTAGTGTGGTGAGTGTCTACACAAAAAAAAGATAAAGGTATGGTATAGCTGATGAGCAAATCAAAATTACTGTGTTGTGTCGTAATGCATCACCCAAATATTGGGCTCCAACATCTCCGATGTCATTAAATCCAAGATTCAGTGTGGTGAGTATCTAGATGAAAAAGTGCAAGTAAAGATATTGTATAAAGGAAGAGAGAAGGACAATTACTGTATTGTGCTGTAATATATTAGCGAAACGTCGGGCTACATCAACTCCAATTTCATTATGTTCAAGGTTTAGTGTGCTGAGTGTCTAAATGAAATATTACAGTTAAAGATATTGTATACATAAAGAGATAATAACAATTACTGTGTTGTGTCTCAAGGCATCACACAAAAGTTGTACTCCTACATGTCCGATTTGGTTTTCTGAGAGATTTAAAGTGGTGAGTGTCTAGATAAAAACGTGGAGGCAAATATATGGTATAGATAAAGAGAGAATGATGATTACTGTGTTGTGCTTTAATGCATCACTCAAATGTTGGGCTCCAATATCTCCGATTTTATTGAATCCGAGATCTAGTGTGGTGAGTGTCTAGATAAAATAGTATAGGTCAAGATACTGTGTGCATAAAGAAAGAGTAACAATTACTGTGTTGTGCTTTAATGCATCACCCAAATGTTCTGCTCCAACAACTCCGATTTGGTTTTCCCAGAGTTTTAAAGTGGTAAGTGTCTACATGAAAAAGTGCAACTAAAGATATTGTATAAATGAAGAGAGAATAACAATTACTATGTTATGCTTTAATGCATCACCCAAATGTTGTGCTCCAGCGTCTCCGATTTTATTCCCTATCAGATCTAGTTCGGTGAGTGTCTAGATGAAAAACTACAGATAGAGATAGTGTATACATGAAGAGGAAATACTAGTTACTGTGTTGTGCTTTAGTGAATCACCCAAATGTTGAGCTCCAACATCTTCAATATTGTTACATTGGAGACCTAGTGTGATCAGTGTCTAGATGAAAAATGATAGATCAAGATATTATATGGATGAAGCGGAAATAATAATTACTGTGTTATGCTTCAATGTATTACCAAAATGCTGTGCTCCATCAGCTCCGATTTTATTAGATGCGAGTTCTAGTGTGGTGAGTGTCTAGATGAAAATTGTTGGTCAAGATATTATACAGATGGAAAGAAAATAACAATTACTGTGTTGTGCTTTATTGCATAACTCAATTGTTGTGCTCCAATATCTCCTATTGAATTGTGGTTAAGATCTAGTGTATTGAGTGTCTAGATGAAAAAGTGGATGCAAATATATGGTACAGATGAAGAGAGAATGATAGTTACTTTGTTATGCTTTAATGCATCACCCAAGTGTTGAGCACCAGCATCTCCGATTTCATTAGCTCTGAGATTTAGTATGGTGAGTGTCTAGATGAAAAATTACAGGTAAAAATATTGTATAGATGAAGAGCAAATAATATTTACTGTATTGTGCTTTAATGAATCACCCAAATGTTGTGCTCCATCAGCTCCGATTTTATTAACTCCGAGATCTAATGTGGTGAGTGTCTAGATGAAAAATTATAGATAAAGATATTGTATAAATGAAGAGGAAATAATGATTACTTTATTGTGTCGTAAGGCATCACTCAAATGTTGTGCTCCAATAAACCTTATCGAATTATGGTAAAGATCTAGTGTGGTGAGTGTCTAAATGAAAAGGTTTACGTAAAGATATTGTATAAATGAAGAGAAAATAACGAATACTGTGTTGTGCTTTAATGCATCTCCCAAATATTGTGCTGCAGCATCTCCAATTTTATTAAAATTAAGATTTAGTGTCGTTAGTGTCTATGTTGAAAAGTGGAGACAAATATATGGTGCAGATGAAGTGAGAATGACGATTACTGTGTTGTGCTTTAATACATCACTCAAATGTTGGACTTCAACATCTCCGATTCCATGGTACCCGAGGTCTAATGTGGCCAGTGCCTAGATGAAAAAGTGCAGATAAAAACATGATAAAGCTCAAAAGAAAGAATTGCTGGTCGCTATTATCTAAGATCACAGCAGTAAAATGGATGTTTTTCTGACATCGGTCAAGAACCCTTGATTATGAAGATGAAAATTTCTATGATTTCACATACTATTGAAACGTGGAGTATTTAGGTGAGATTGAAGAGAAAGAAAAATTAGAATCATTTCCATATTGTCATATATATTCTATTGAAATTATTCTACTTGAATAGAAATGGTATGAATGAAAAATAATTGAAGAACCAATAGATAAGAATTAGACTGATAGAGAACAGTTTACCTGATATCGTTCGTAACTGTCGACGATGCAGTTAAATCGTCGACATACGTTTCTCATTGTGCAGAGAATGGTGAAATCTGACTGATGATCCAAAATGCGATAGACAAGTTCTACCGGTAACGTAATGAAGTTGGTGACAGTTTGATGTGTCATTGTAGATTGTTTGATAAAATGCGTGGTGTCCAGGTTAATATGGTGTTGTTTTTCTTCGCATTCAATGAATACATATTGGTTATGCATCATACACTGCACGTAATATTGCAATTATCTATTAGAAAACAAAAAAGTCAAAAACAAGTATGCCACCCTCAGCCACACATTAGATACGTACGTCTATAGTATATAAAGAAGTAAAGAAAGCTCACAACAAATCTCTTATTAGGTATTTCGCACGTTAATAAACTTTATAATATCAAAATTAGATTATTGACGGATTTTCTGTTATCTGTATTTCATAGGAAAGTTCTACATCGAATCTTACGAAATTTTAAACAAACAGAAAATACACACTTAATACAATAAACGAACAAAACAAATCACGAAAACACTTGTTTTCTGTTTTATCATAGTACAAGTCACAAAAATACACGAATGAAATATCCGTAGCATAACAACAGAAACAAAAATAGTTTGAAAGAAGAAAAAAAACAATAACAAACAGAAAAAGAAAACTAACAAAACAATAACAACAGAAGAAAAAAAGAGCTTCAATATCTATACATAATCACTTTCTTTGTCAAGAAAAACAAAAAAGAAAAGACTTTTTAAAAAAAAACTATAAAATCTTTAGACTAGCGAGGAATATCGATCATTGGTACGTGAAAATCGAAAAAAAAAATTCATTGCTCTTATGGAGTTCGAGCATTCCGCATTAATGGTTTATGAATCATAGCTGGTGGTATACATTCAGTACTATTATTATTATTATTTGTTTGTGTAATTATATGATTCGGATTTAAA